CGATCCACGTAGAGAGCTCTCGCCGTAGACCAAGAATTATAGACGAAAAATTAAAATGAGCGGAGATGCGGGGAAGACGAATCTCACTCGGCGAGATGCGGTCATTTGTTGAGTTGGGAGCATTAATCAAAACCGCGGTATTCGGCGCTTTTTCGAGGCAGTGTTTTCAATCACCTAACCGCGCTTTCCCGCCACGCTTGTCGTGTGAATTTGATGGAGTTTTCGGCGGAACGATTTTTCTCTCGACTCCGCCTTGGAGGGATTTGATGCTAATGGAAACGGACGGCTTGCGCACTGAAAAAAATTCTCGGCGTTTTTACAACGGTCTGTTGGTACCTTTACCATCTCACTTTTTTACCAATTATTGGTAATTTTACCAAGCTTTTTTTGGTAAGCTTACCAAAAAACCGGTATTTTTACTGTTCTTTTTTTCAGGTAAGAATACCACTTTTATTGGTAATCAATTCCCGTATCTTTGCCATTTTATCTCGGTAATTCTACCACAGTCGATAAAAAATATTGGCGTTTTTACCAAGGTCCAGTAAAATTACCGAGAAAGTTCAATTATTTTACCGAGATTTTTCGGTAAAATTACCAATTCCATAAATGGTAGTTTTACCAAGAAAAAACTGGGATCAAATAGAACCCCGAATTCTTGGTAATTTTACCTTTTTCTTAGTAAATACACCGGGATTTTTTTTTCTGTGCGATTAACCAGCCGAGGAGTTCGTCGGAGTTCTTGTGGACAAATAGTTGTTGTCAGTAGTTCCTTTATTTTTTTCAGTTTTTCTCCAATATCCAGAGCCTGAAAATTTACCAAGCACCCAATGTTACACTGAAAATGAAGGTGTTTGACTCAAGCATGATGATTCTTGAATTTGCCGCCGAGAATTTGTTTTATCTTAATTTAACCTGAATTTGTCAAGATACAAGCAAAATAATGCTTGGGTCAAGCGAAAAAAAAGTTTCTATTAAACAGCAAAATTTTTGATATGAGAAAAAATACTTTTTGGAGGCAAATTCGAGATTCTTTTTTTTTCAGTGTATGCATTATGTTATATGCTACGCGTTGTGTTAGCACGCCAGAGCCAAAGGTACCCACCTCACATTTTTGGGAAACTCGAGTTAGTGGCGTTTTCGAAATTTCCATTGACGGTTCCATGAGTGTGGACGATTCGGTTGCCCTATCTTATGCCGGTTAGGAGGTATGGCGTTTCAAAAATAGCGACTTACATTGCAATGGAGCCGACGTGCGGTTTTCCCCTGATATCTCAAAAAGACTAATATGGAGTTAGGTACCTTTTGGCTCTGAGATACGATAAAAAAAAGTTACACACAGTACCTTTTACTCAAAGGTAAACGGAAAATAAGACACTTTTTGCTCGACTTCAATTTTAAAATTCTTGCCCTGGATAATTCCTTTCTTCAGGGAAAGATATGGATATCAATTTAGCATTGCATTCCATGTGAACTCTAAATCAATAGTCGACATAACCAATGATAATGGTATATTTGCCGGTAAATGATAATTTTATTTTATCGCAATAGTGAAATTGCCAACGATGTGGTATTCTTACTCTCAAGAGATGATTTTACTAACGTAATGGTGAAATTATAGCTAAAATCACAGTTTTGGGTTATGATTTATGACTAACACACTGGAAAAAAACACATTGGATCTAGAGTCCAGACTCTTAAAAACATCGACAAGAAAAAATACTCTTGATTCAATCGGATTTTTGCTTCAATTAAGAACCAAGCCTGTTAATTTGAGCGGATTTCCTTTTGATTTAAGCTTAAATCTGATTGAATCAAGAGTCCTTTTTCTTGTCAATGTTTTCAAGAGTTTGGACTCTAGATCCAATGTGTTTTTTTCCAGTTTATTCATTAATTATTAAGAGTTCGTGCGGAAGACCAGAAATTTGGTAATTATAATCGTAGCTTTTCTCAGTTTTTCAATTTAATTTTATACAGAATCGAATCTGATTCATCTGAAAACTTAAGGGAGCCTAGACTGGAGCTCCCCTCAAAAAATTGAATTTCGGGAAGGGAACGTGAGCTCTCTGCGGAGCCACCAATAAAGCGTGTAATTACTGGACTCGGCGTCGCGTTGTTAGGAGAACTGGCGAAGGGTCCGGAGGCTTATGAAAACAACGGGTAGACAAAACCACGAATTAAAGCCCACCTTTGATTCGAGGAGCAGGCGCCGCGCCGCACCATTGCCAGCCTGCAATTACTCCCGGGTAATGATACCCGAGTAATGTACCCCGATAATTAGTTTTGTCCACACTCGGTGCGTTTCGCGGCCGCTTATTGCGGCGGTTTCGAGGAAGGCTCGATTTGGTGGTTTGTACACGTGTATGAAACGCGTGACTAAGGGTAGTTTTCCGGGTTGAACAACGCTTGGTGAACAGTTTGACATGTAAGGGATCAGCTAAGTTTACCTATTGATGGCAGCTGTAGAAACGGGCCAAACTATACAATACTGATCATGAGGATGCAATGTATCGACGGTGAAACAGCAAAAATTTCATCGGCGTGGCGTGCTTTGCGATTTATCGATTGATTTGCCATTTAAATCCATAGGAAAGGATCGATAGACAGGGTGTTCGCAGCGAGCACCTTAATAATCGATTCTTTACCATAGCTTCAAATGGAGAAATATCGATAATCGATCATTCGCGCCACGCCACTGAAAAATGTGTACCTCGGTTGCGGTGTATCGAAATCTCTGTTCCTATTTTATTTTTTAAAAAAAGACCAAACCAACATCATGGCTTGAAGTTTTCACAGAATTTTCTATATAACGAGAAGAAAAGTCACTGAAGTTTTCCAGAGACGTCGCTCAGTAGTTTTCCATGTAGAAAATGAAGTATGACAGGAAGTCTGCAATGCCGCAAACCGAGATGTGTCTTTCTACATAGTTTCACCATCGATATTGATGATAAAAAGTTTGATAAGATGTTATGGGTTGATTTTAAAATTAATGATAGAAATCACTTGCTGTTTAGATATAAGTTCGTAATTCGTTTAATCGAATTTTGGAATTTGTTGCACGAAAGATCTACAATTTTTATTAACAATCTTGCAATTTTCAGTCTTCATGGAGATAAAATCACATATATGATTCAAAAATACTTAATTCGTGGCATTTATTTGGTAGACTGACGAAAAATTAAGAAAAGTACAACACGAGAAAACATTCAATTTTCAAGAGTTTGTATTACCATTCAGGTTACAGATCACAAAATTACATATTTATTTAGACATCAATAATGTAATTGAATTGAATTGAATTGAGACAAATGAAAACGTTGGTTTAGTCAAGGTTTCAGGTCAACACTCCTTGCATCGATTTTTTACAATCTTCTTTTGGGTAACTGAGGAAAACCAAAATGTTATAATGTCATATCTTTCCAATGAGTATCAATATAGCAAGATTGATTTTGGTAATGTGATCTTGATAGTAAAAAGATAACTAGCATCAGCAAAATGGAACTTTACTTATCCGTGAAAAAACCCCGATGGAAACAGGCATTCCTCCTCTCTACAGACGGGAGGGCAACTCAACGTATCCCGGTATTCACGGTGCACCTGGGCAAGGGATGTGAGAGCCGTAAGAGCGCCTTCAATTATGTTGCAAAGCAACAAGCCAAACACGTACAACGCTTTCTTCACGGTGCGGTAGTTGTTCAGTTGCTTGCCCCAGGCACAAATGAAGCAGCACAAATGTTGATCTTATCGATGCACTCACTGCTGGCAGAATATCGTGAGCATTGAAAATGCCACCCTGCTGAAGTTTTCACTTCAATTATCATTCAAAATTCTGACTTTTCAACTCACTTATAATTCATTAAAAAGTTCAGGATTTGTTTCAATTTCTCACGAATTGCTATAACTTTTCTCCATCAATCCCTTCATGTAATTAGATCTTTTAATAATGATTCACATAGTTCCATAAACTATAAGCATTTAAAATTCTCCTCTTATGTATAGAGGATTTGTTTTAAACAGTATTCATTCAACTTGTTGATTGCTAATATAGTAGTTAGGGTTAATTTTCTTTATAGATCCATCCATTTTTACCTACTTAATTGAGAAGAAAGAAAGAAGAAGAAAAAGTTGAAAGATGCAACATGATAGTGTTCCAGTAGCATGATTGCGGTCCATGTAAAGCACACAAAAATTAAAACTATAGTCCAGTCAAATTATCAATTACAGAATAAATCAGTTGAAATGCACAAGAACACTACACAAAAATTCAACCTATGCAGCTGCTGGTGGATCAGAAATAAAACTAGTATGGGAGCCGTCAATAAATTGCGTGAGGCACATTTTTTTTTTTTTTTTTTTTTTTTTTTTTTTTTTTTTTTTTTTTTTTTTTTTTTTTTTAATTTCGACCTTTAGCTAAATAGGACTTGTAGTTACATGGAGCAAAACACGTGATACAACTATTTCAACTTCCAATTATTGGTAAAATTGTATATTCGTAAAAATGAAGGAGCAATGTATCTTCTATCCACTGGCTCAGAGACTTTAACGCTGAGGTAGAAAAATAAAAATAAAATTGCGCGATAACCGCGGAACAACAATTTCGACAACCAAGTAAATAAAATTGTATAATTAAGAGGAACTTTGTCTCTTTTCCGCTGGCTTAAAGACTTAAACATAGAGTAGAAAAGTTAAATAGGTGGGGCAAAGCACGTGCGATGAACGCATAGGTAATTTAGCTAGCAACGGTGTTAAAACAACAAATCCGTATAAAGTTTGAAGAATAAAACGTATTCTAGGTAAAGTTTTGCAACTTATACTACCTACACTGCGTTAGGCTGGGTTACCTCATTTTTTTATAATTTTGTTTAATAAATGAAAAGAGATGAAAAGAGTGAAAAGAGTGAAAATATCAATGTAAACTCTACCAGTATCGCAGCTCAATTCGAAAATATTTTGCATTGCTTTGTAAAGTGTCATTCCACCAAATTTCATTAACAAAAATCGTTATTAAAAATTGCCGCAATCTTTAAAAAAAAAGAACAGGAGAAAAAAAAATCTCAAACAGGTATACGAAAACATAGCATTTGCTCGTGAATGAACAGATAGACTCAGGAAGCCAAGCGGAGCGTTAAAATTCGATTTCGACTGCATCGTCATGCAGCGGATTCGAATCCGGCCCGGGGGACCAGATCACCAGATGCAACTCAGCGCTGACGACTGCACTTCCTCATGCATGTGTAAGTGCAGCTGTACACGGGCTTGCATTGTGTGCGCGCTGCTCGAATCCTCGCTTCGTAACGAACATTTTCAAACTCGGGGCGTTGATTGGTCCGCGGGCGTTGGTTCCCGCCGCGGCCGCCAGAGCGCGCTACCTACCGCGAGCGCTCGCCGAGACGGTTACGAAGGCCCGGGTTCAAATTCGAACCTATCATTAAACCGCCACCAGCGGACCGCTCACGTTACTCGTCGCTCCGCGCAGCGCTCAACTCCGCGTGCGTGTCGTAAACGTTGTTGTTATTGTTGTGTCGTGTTGTTACTCCACGTTGTTACGTATTAGTGCCTACCGCCCGTTTTTAAATTTTTACGTTGTTATCCCCGCGGAAAGTAACTTTCCTGTGTTGTTATGTTAACGCAAAGTGAATACGCCATTCGAATGATGGAAATGCGCGGAAAAGTGTCGTTGCTCGAGACGCTCGTGGCATACCGCGAGTGCCGGACACCGCTGAGGCCCCGGTGTTTGTTCGGGCCCTCGGATAAAAAGGAAAACATCACCTTCGCTAAAACGGAGCTGATGAAAGATAGACAGAAGTTTTTCCAGCGCTACGCCCTGGTTGAGCCCCATGGAGAGGACCTGCTCTTCGAGTTGTGCAACAGTGTTAAGCGGAAAAGAAAGTGGGAGGATGACCGCATCCAGACGAAAGTACCCTGTACTTGCGCCCTAGAGGCTCAGGAACAAGAAACAAGCCCCATCAAACAGACGCACATAACAGGTAAAATTGCACTGTAACTTTCATCAGAATATGGGTCGTGATAATTTGCATGATCAATTAAAAATTCAGTAATTTAGTCGGAGGAATAAAAAGTTGCTCAACAGTGATATTTTGATCAGAAATGAGAATTATAGGAGCATGCCGGGCTAAACATTGAATCATCCACACAAAAAATAAGTGAAAATTAAGTTAAAATTTAAGTGGGGAAAAATTGATTAATTTTGAAGTTGACCCTTAAGTTTCATAAAATGATAGTATTGAAATTTAAAGGAAATCAATTCTGAATATAATATCAATAAAGTAGATACATGTGAAATGTATTCTTAGAATTCGCAGTCTACGCAAAATACATGGGAAAAAATGTCAGTAAAACATAAATAACTTAAAATGCGCGGAGAAGGCAGAAACTGCCTAAAGTTCACGTGGTTGCCATGTAAAAAGATTAGAATAATTTATTTACTTATTTCGTTGAGTATCAAATTGATTTTTTACCTAGTGTTTTTTTATTTTTTCTTTTTCATCTTTATATTTTATTTGCTTGTTTAAATTTATTTTTTTAAAATTTGCCCGCATTACCAGCATATCTGCCTCATAAGCGGTCTTAAAAAAATTTTGTTGCGGTAAATGACTGAAGTACACATACGAAGCGCGTTCTGTTCTTGTTCTTAGTACAGTAATTTTACCGACAGGCCGGAAATCGCTTTAATAGATGAAATACATAGGAATGAAAATTAGTTTTCTTCCAATATTAGGTACGAATGAAATAATCCATTCCAACATTTAAGCTCAGAAAAAGCACTCTTCCTTGTCCGATAAGTGTAAAAATCTGCTTTCTTAATTTTTTTCAAGAAAGGACCCAACAAACTTGAACCGCGTAAACGCTTGCACTTCTACCGCAGGCAAATGGGAAGAAAAGGAGGGAGCTTAGCCTGATGGAAAAGTGAAAGCACTTTTCCAGTCCAATTTACAACTAAGTAGTTTCCATTTCATGTTGGACGTATGATAAATCCACATCTCTTCTCTCATTTTAGAGTAATTTAACTTCGATTCAAAACTGCGACTGAAAAACGCTCCTAGATATCATACTTCGGAAGTTCAAAAATTATTAATTTGACGTTCACTCTTCTTTTTCTGAATCGTGAAAAATGAGAGTGCTGCACTGACGTTTTTCTCGCGGCCGTGCCGAAATCGAAAGTGAGACAACGTACGCAAGCAAAAGAATCGGTCAATGCTGAAACGTATCATCCGAGTTTTCGTGATGATTCCAAGTTCAGAGGACTCCTACGGGACTCCGGACTCATCGGAACGGGGAACGTGCTACGTTTCTACATTTATCTATGCAAATGTCACGTCCAAAATAACTCGGGTGAGACGTGATTATTCCGTTTCCTGGCGTTCCGTCCCGCGGTATTGTATCGTGTTTCTACGACCGTTCGAAAGTTGCAAAACTCCCAGTAGAATCGTTCACTCCCTCTTCCTCTAAAAAATATTTCAGAAGTATGTACACCAAAACTGTCTTTTAAAAGATAATTTTTCCAATAAAATTTTTCTTTCCTGTGATTCTGAATCACCTGAGTTTTGAAATTTGGAAGATTGCGGTCTAAAATAAAAAATAAAATAATGAAAAATAATTGACATCCACAATATCGCACACTTTTCAGGTGCAATGATGTAGCGTAACAAACAATTCAGAGAATTATTTCTTGATTTTTTTTCACTCTCCTGTAAGGAATAGAGCTGGAATTAATATTTTGAGGAAAAATTTGGAATGCCAAAAATTTTCCAGAACTTAACATTCTTAGCTCGGCTCTTCACCACGAGACAGAGTCCGGATTAGGTTTGTGTTTTCGTGGGTGTGTTTCGCCGTCAATACACCGTTCGGATTCGTAAAATCAATCTCGGTAAATCGTTTTTTTTTTCTTTGAAAAAAAAAGTACTATTCCAGCACTCAATATTCCATTTGCGTAGGTTTCCCCGTAAGCATTTTTGACGAGACACGTACATCGTAGTATAAAATTGGCGTAAATCGTGCGCTTCATTCAGCGGATGTTCTTTCGATCGGGTTAGAGTGAAATGCTGACGTCATCCGCCACTCTCCTCTCGACAGGATTCGCGTTTGGTGCGTCATCCGGACCTAGGGCAACCGATTTTCGCAGAAAAAAAAGGAGGGAAAAGCGGCGAGTACTTGGCATACGACGGCAGTACCCCGGTCCCCGCCCCCTCGCGCTATAAAAAAGCAACAGGTTCGGTGCCTCTCCTCTCCTCCTCGTCGAAGCATAAAAGAAGAGAAACTAAAATGGGTGGAATTTCCTCGAAAAAGAGACGTACTCACTCCGCAGGTGAAACCCAAGTGTGCAGTCAACGCACAGTGAGGCAATAAACGCCTATGTTATCATATTTTTTTCCTTTTCATGTTGATAATATTTTCTCACTTTCTGGCTCATCCCTATTTTATGTCGAAGAAAATAATAGTTCAAGTATGATTTACCTAGGTAAATTTTGGAGGAGAGTTTATGCGATATCAGTTTCAGATTTTATGCGACAAAAATACTGATTATGTTTTCGCAGATAATCGAGTTTCACCTTGCATCCGTGCAACGTTCACTTTTAATCAGTTTCCCTGTAAGGATTAGTAAAAAATCGAGACTCGGCGATGGAGAATTTGCAGATGTCTGAAATTTTGGAATTTTCATGTTCGAGAAGAAACTTCTCAGGGGACTGATCATTAGAATATCCTTAATGAACGATTATTAGAGGAGATACGATAAAATTACCTTGTCTGGTTAAATACGTTTGTTTAAATGAGAAATACCATCTGATGACGTAACAAGGCGGCAGATTTTCTATCTTTTAAATCTACTTTTCTAAAACTTCCTCTATCGGCAAAAAACCCTGAAAAGTGTCGCGAACGCAGCTCTTTAAGCATTTTTAGATGCAGCAATAAATGATGTTCGTGCTAATTCGCCATTTGGCAGATACACTGAAAGCTTTTTTTTTTTTTTTTTTTTTTTTTTTTTTTTTTTAGATGTTATTTTGCCTTTAAGCGCGGTTTCTGGTCGACGACTTTATTTTATTTTATTTAACTTCAAGTCAGTTTTTTTTTTTTTTAGTTAAAGAAACGTTTTGTAACCTTTCTTTAAAGTTAATTTCAACGATAGCAAACGATAGCAACGATTTCGACCCTTCTTAAATTCAAAAAACTCATCTTGAGTTGAATCCGCGCGGATTTAACTAAGAAAAACCAAATTTTGTCGACAAGAAACGACGCTTTAAATCAAAGTAATATCCAATTTTTTTTTTTTTCAAATTAAGAGCGGTCAATTCCCGATCCTTTTCGGTCGGATGCACCGTGCGACGATCGCCGCTCGTATGACTCAGGCAGGCGCGAGGCAGTGGCAGGCGTGCTGCCGGATCGGACCTCGGGGTCTCAACCCCCCCCCCCCCCNTCATGTCCCGCGGCCCCCCGGCCTATCCTCGTACACGGGGGGTAAGACACAAGCCCAGACACCGTCTTGGGGCCGAGACAGGCCGGCAGACTCCAGCGCACGCATAGTCGCCGTGAGTCATCCGGGAATACTCGGGATGCGTTCTTGGGTATGCGCCGCGCCGGATGGATGACCACGCCACGCGGATCTGTCGCGTGCGCAAAAAGGCGGGAACGCCGCGGTAGGATTGCAGCTCCTTTTATGGACAAGATATGGAATAATGCTCCCAGGAGAGAGCTCGCCTGAGCGAACATTTTTAACAAGACGTCAAAAATGGCCTTTAGGTAGTTTGTTGGGCCAATGAGGATCCTAATTATTGCACCTATTATAGTGCGAACACTGGAAAAAAAAAACACATTGGATTTAGAGTCCAGACTCTTAAAAATATCGACAAGAAAAAATACTCTTGAGTCAATCAGAATCTAGCTTAAATCAAGAACCAAGCCTCTTAATTTGAGCGGATTTCCTTTTGATTTAAGCTTAAATCTGATTGAATCAAGAGTATTTTTTCTTGTCAATGTTTTCAAGAGTCTGGACTCTAGATCCAATCTGTTTTTTTTCCCAGTGTATAATTATTGCACCTAAGTACAATAGTGCGAAGGCCCGAAAAGTTCACCTCTTTGAAAATTGTGAAAGGAGGCTGTCTCTGTACCTCGAAATCTTCCTAAAATAAAAAAAATCCGGAAAAAAGGATAAAATAGTCCGGATTAGTAATTCAGTTTCTGCCGATAGTCTGTAAACAACGCTATGGTGTGACATAGAAAAACCCGGAAAGAATAATTACTCTATTTTTCGTCGATATTTTGTCGCAAGCCATGCTATGCTGTAAGAAGTTATTCTATTATTCTTGCCACTCGAAACAATTCCTATGATTGCATTATGTAATCACAGCACTACAGTGATCAAACTCCAATAACGAGGAATCAACGCGGTAACGGATAAAAATTGCCGCAGTTGATCTCTCAGCCGACGGACACAACACCACGCTATGATTAGGTTGATACAACTATTCGTACTCATTGTCATTGGATACCTATGTTGCCTACGGAACTAATAGCGGGCGCTTCAGCCTTCCTTGCCCGTCAGCCGTCAGCGTAGCGATGCTGGCGACACACACGGCGCAGGCATACAACTATACGTTCTCTCAGGATGCACGCGTTGCATACACGCCTATTTGAAGGCGTTTCGCATTTTTTCGCTCATTGTGACACGCGCGGCGCGGCAATTCAATTCGGTGGCAATGTGTTGCGTACACGGGCAAGATTTAAGGCTCGCGGCCGTGTGGCTGTAGCCTTTGAATTATTTTGAAACTTCCTTTGAAATTCCTTGAAACCCGTATCTATTGTTTGATCATAGAATAGACTGTTCAAACGATCTTTTCAGTTTTTTCTCTCTCTTTTTTTTCGAGTTCATGATTAGTCACTACCTGTCTAAAAGTGAATTGACTGATATCTGTCGGCTGTCAATTCCTGACTCACAGCATATACTCACACCCACGCATTGGAGCCAATTTTC